ACATACATTACAACAATAACAGTAATACAATACCCCCCCTTAAAAGACAAAATACAATATTAAAATAAACACATTAAGATTAAAACAACACACATTCTGCCTTCTCTCCCTCCTGATGATGGTGGATGGATGGAGGGCCTTCTTCTTTTCAGGCTAGGCTTGATGGAGCTGGCCTGCCTTCTCTCCCTCCAGATGATGGTGGATGGAGAGAGGGCCTTTAAATGCATTTAAAGAATTTCTGCATAAGAAAACTGTCTAGAGTGATGTACCAATCTTAGTGAAAATTGGTATTCCTTATAGTGGGTGGATATTTGTTGGATTTATACAAATACCTAGTGGGTATTTGCTGGATTTATACATTGCCTTCCTACCAAAGAATGGCACTCAAGATCAGTTCTTTGATAACTATAGGACAAAACTCTTAAACAGGAAAGGATCATGTGAACTTTATGACCTGAGGTTGACTTGAACAGGGGTTTAGCTAGAAGCTGAGTTAGAAGCGAGGCAAAATGAAGGCTTTGCCTCCAATAATAATTATCTCCTTCAACATGATTTTTTCTCTTCAGTCCACAAATTTCCAGTATTGCAGAGAATAAGACTCAAAATGAATCACATCTAGAGCTCTATTATTAGCTCTGTTTGCATTCCTTTGGTAGCTTTGCTTGCTTCTTTTCTTTGCTGTATCTCTAAATGGTCAGCTGAACTTGTAAATTACTGCGGGGACTGAAGGAAAATTTCTTTTGGGGACAGAATTCTTATTTTGGATTTTCCTCCTTTTGGTAGCTACATCCTTGCATTAAGGAATGACTGTGTAATACACTACTTTGGCAAGCAAAAGTAATTTCCAAAGAGTTTTACGGCTTTCTGGGGAAAGCATGGCCCATTACACGTTGGCCAGATACAGGAAATGAATATTCCTGAAGCATCTTTGCTCTACAGAATAACTGTGCTTTTTTGAAAGAACCACGTTTCCCCCAGTCTTTTCCAGTGCTTGCTTTTCATTTTGGCTAGCGTTGCTGCGCCAACTTTTGCAAAGAATAAAGCAGAGAAAAAGAAAGAGTATCTTTCCATTAAGAAGCAAACAAAGTAAGACTTCTGAACTTTTTGTAATCCCCCAGCCCTTGTGTTTGAGAAAGAGCTGAGAGAATAGATGGAATTGAAAGCAGTTAATATCAAGCAAATAGGGCCCACAGAAAGCTGTTTATTTTTTTGAAGTGAGATACATTGGCTTTTAGGATTAAAGCTGTAGTTTTGAAAAGGCAGCAGGCATCTGACTGAAAAAGCACTCTTTCCATGAATCACAGGCTGCCTTGCATCTCAGCTCTCTACAGGCTGAAAGATTTATAGGACAAAGATGCAGATGGCAGAGAAGAAATGAGGCTTTTTCTTCCTGGCCAAATCTAAACACCATTATAACTGTATGATGGGTTTGCTTGGATTGTCCTTTCCTTGCATGTTGGGTGAGCCTTCCTGTCCTCTTCATCAGATGGATGTGTCCTACCACAAAGATTGGTGGATATGCATGCACCAGTGTAATGCTTGAGGAGCACCAAGGTCCAAATTGCAATTGGGTAAATATAGGGGCTTTACAGACTGCCAGAAACAATGCCACTTTAACTGTCCTGGCTCAGTGCTAAGGAATCATAGGAACTGTAGTTTATTTTGGCACCAGAGCTCTCTGACAGAAAAGGCTCAGTGTCTCAGGAAAAACTACAATTCCCATGATTCCCTAGCCCTGAGTCAGAGCAGTTAAAGTGGCCTCAAGCTGCATTATTTCTGGCAGTCTGTAAAGGCCCATAAATGGGATGTCATCTCCTATTCAGGTATACATGTGTTGGATTTTTTGCATGCGTCCCATTCAGACATTACCTATGTATATGGATGTTTGATGTGACCAGCATATTCTGAGATAAAACCCCAAACAAAAGCATAATTTGTCACCACTTGATATGACAACAGGGATGGCTCACAACTTTATATTGTTGGTGTGAATATCCACTCTATCTGCACCAAGCAAAAATTGTAGCTGAGCTCAGAGAAAACAGGAAAGCTTGGATGGAAGGAAGGATGGTAGACGACAGCATTGTCTCTGTTAATCCACAACTCCTGGCACTGTGAATTTGTAAAGTAGCTCTAGAAGTACAGGGTCCCTGATATCAGTGATGGCTGCTGGCTTCCATGTCAGTAGGACAGTGACTCTGTTCTGAGTTTTATTATTAATTTAAAAAAATTTTGAAACCTAAATACATTCAAAACCTTGGATAGCTCCTATATTCATTGTTGTGTGCTTCTAAGTTTTTTTTGAGTTATGGCATCTCTAAGGTGAACCTAGCATGGGGTTTACTTAGCAAGTTTCTTCAGAGGGGATTTGCCATTGCCATCATCTGAGGCTGAGAGAGTGTGACTTGCCCAAGGTCACCTAGTGGGTTTTTATGCTCAAGTTGGGAATCGAACCCTGATCTCCAGAGTCATAGTCCAACACTCAAACCACTGCACCACATTGGCTCTATAGATAGTTGATACCAAAACCCACAGCAGATTCACCACCCCACTGACATGGAAGCCACCACTACCCAAGATGTTTGAGGATAAACTCAAAGTAATTGCATGGAGGCTTCTGTCAACTGTGAGAATCCTGCCTCACTTGCAAGAATTGTTCAAAGAAATGTTGGAAGTTGCCTTCCATGGGATCAGACTGTATATCAGTCTCACCCAGTATGGTCTACTCTTACATACAGTGGCTCTACACAGTATCCCATACCAGTCTTTTTAAAGATCAACTGATTTTCGGAGATTGAACCCGGAAGCATGCTTTACTACTGAGCTATGGCCTTTTTGCAACAAATGTTCCTAAGTTCTAATTGAATGCCCTCCTGATCAATTGGTTCGGCCATTCCTGCCACACTACTCAGTTTTTCAGGTTGGCAATCTGAGTGATCTGTGTAGGTTTTGCTTTAGGTAGAAATGTCAACCATAATATTACAATATTGCCTTCTATGTGAATGCAAAAGAAGGGTCAGTGAAGTATGTGGGGAAAGAGAACTTCACCAGGTGTTTGTAAATCAAGACTGGACTTTTTGGAAAGCATCTCAGCACCACCACAGTGCTTACCATCAACACCTCTTTGGATTTCCTCATATTATGTGTCAGAATTGACATTAGAAGTGTTCTTTTCAGATACGTATTTATTTTGTGAAAGAGAATAGGAAATACCACTTTGTTTTTTAATGAACAGGATACAGTTCTGAGACTGCTATGTTTATCGTACGGTGTTCTCGTTACTTACTGGGTAAGTAATGTGAACAGAATGGAATGAACTTTGTATCACGCGGTATGATCCTCATCGAGTTCCCATTCTGTGCTCTGACAGTCCCTAGCCTGTTCCAATAGGAGAATTGTAAAAATGCGTCCTCAGCTAGCAAGAACGCTTACAGACCATTTCAGATGATGTGTGTGCGATAATCCTAGCCGGTCTCAATCCATCCTCATGTTCTGATTGACTAAGGGCCTCGGCAGACGACTAATAGAGTCGTCTTCAAGGCCCT